TTCATAATCTCAGCGAATTTACTACAGCCGAACTATACTACTTGAAATTTCTGGATGGCGATGGAATTAGATCCGTATAATTCTCTATTACTCGGTTCATTTATCGAAAATACGCCCGTCTGTTTTACGGACTTAGACATATTTGAGTTTAACAGAATAGAGTTATCGGATTGCGATATCTCGTGCTATATTTGATCGGAATACCGTTTCTCGAAGTCACATGAGCTTATTTAATGCTGAATGCGTGATAAAAATATTTGCGTTCTGCTGACCTGGATATTTTAAAAATAGCAAGGAGCACACGATTTTTTTGGCATTAATACTTTCATCAACATTTGTTAATTAACGTGAGTTGATGAACACGAAGTATCATAAATACAAATGCGAGACAGCTATGATATTTGCTCATTGCGTATATTTTACTTAAATACGATATTTTATTAAAAGTTTCATGTAACGAACGCGTATGGTGTTCGTAACATCCTTGGCTTCACGTGGAAAATAATTTCTGTTTATATAAGTTGTTGAAAGATTGAAAATATATATTTCTTTGGTAGAGAGAGCATTTTCAATTCCTAGTGTCTCTTTATATTTTTATAGATCGAAGTAAATTCTTCGACCTTCTGGCTATAACGCGTGCTTATATTCCATCTTTTTAACAAAAATAGAACCGATAGAAACACTGATCTCCTTTAATCTCTAATCAGCCGATTAATAGTAACTATCGAGATATCGTTTGTAAAAATATACACTAGTGTTCGGAGAATCTCATAAAGAACACATGGTATATCTTAGCTTATTATTTTTCTTAATGATTGAGCACGAGATTGTTCGAGACGTGGACATTAAATTAGCGCTCATAACCGTCTGCCGCAATTTCCGCAATTAAATAGCTCAAGCTGCAAAAGTTACAAAATTAACGTGGTCGATACACGGCCACTCGGACTTCGCCGTTAATCCTCGTTTGCGGCCGGAAAAGAGTCTGTCGAGAGTTTATTCGCAGTGTAATATCGCGTAAAACCGCAGAAATTCCGATACTATTCCATTATATCAAAACTCTCTAGTCGTAACGTTTACGAAAAAGTTTTCGACGATCAGTTTATATTTTGAATAACTACCGTATTTATTTCTTCAAAAGTATACCGATTTTGATGTCAAAATGACGCTTTAATGTCATTTTCACGACAAATAACTTCAGTTTTTGCTATCTGGAATAATAGGATGATAATAATTTTTAACATTTATAAATTGTCTGATTATTAAGCAATTCACGAATATAAAAATATTTATTTTGAAAAAAAGTGCATGTAGGAATTTAAAACATAAATTGATCGTCGATTGCCTAATCAGTTGTGTGGTAAATAGTTTCAGAATGGAACTTATTGTAGTCATTATAATTCGGAATGTAACTTCTTTTCCTTTTTTTTTTTTTTCATGAAATAGGTTTTTATTTTTAATTGGCTTTTGATTCTTTCTCTATTATTAATCAATTATAACTTCCTTTTTTTTTGAAAATAATAGACTAACAATAAAATTAATTGTGTTACAAAGAACAATAAGTTAATTCTGTAGTTGCCAAAAATTTTATATTGCGTTATCTTAAATTAAATAGTAAACAATAACTAATGTACATTATATTTTATGTGAAATATTTATCTTAAATTAATTACATTTTAATGTTCTTTGTTATTATTACAAATCGTATTCTTAAAATTAAATTTAGTTGAATTTAGTTATATGTTTTATTAGTTAGAATTTTTTAATAATAATAATAATTTTGTATTATCAGAACTATAATAATTTAAATATAAATTGTCTGTTCCTCTCATATTATAATGGAACAATCAATAGTGTACGCTAAGCACGCTTCTATACTTAATGTGCAAGTATATTGTATTAAACATTTCCAGCACTTTATTTTTTATTTAAGAATATATGAAAATTAATTTTTTAAATTTAAGTTATATTTTGAAATAAAAATCAATTTTAAGAATTACCAAGATTACTTTAATGCTAAAATATTATATTATAAGTAAAACTAATATTTGTTCAAAGTTTTGTTATGGAAGAAATGCAATATCCTGATTGGATTTTTTTTCATAAATTTAAAAGTAATTTTTTTAAGTGAATATTACAGGGGAAGATAGATTTCAACATCGAAATTTATTCCTTATAACTTATGAACAAAGAAAAGACTGTGCATATCATCTTGTATTTTTGTGTATAAACGTTATACTTAGATACATGGATTATATATATAAAAAAAGTAAAATAAAAATAAATATGAAAAATAAAATTAAGTCGGGACTTTATTGGAGCTTATATAGTACCACATATAGAGGTCGCTCAGTGATTTTGCGGATGTATGAATCTCGAAGTGGAACCTGTCATATTCGAGAAACTGGAGGATTGTCATGATGTGTGCATAGCACCTTTCAATTTTTTGATAATTTTTGCAATGACAATAGTATCCGATTATTGCCTCGGCACCGATCTTTTCTTGATCTATTAAAACATAGATCAAGTATTTAGTTTGCGATGCCAGGTCCGTCATTACTATAGAAGGTGGTTCTCGGTTGGCGAATATAGATCTGTTAATTTTTATTTACAAGAGTCTTTCGTGACCTATAATTCGTGACGGACGCACATAACAACTTTGTGCCCACTGTAAACTTCGATCTATTCATCGAGATCCTTCGAATATTTTTCGAAACACCTGTTTTGATCTGCGACGCGTTAGGCAATTTTTCATAGATTTTTGGCATCCTCTTTATTCGTGTTCACTGATCGCGCGCAGATTTCTTGCCGCATAAAATAGCGCGAATAGTTGTTGCAGGTCGACCGTAAGAAAAAAAATTAAACACGTGGTTGTATGCGACGTCAATAAGGTTGCATAAGGTCGTTTATTTATACAGACGCTTAGAAAAATACAGGGCGGAAAGACCTATGTTTATTTATAGTTTCTCGCTTGTCCGGGATTATAAATAAATGATTCAAAGATTTTCAACTACTATAGTAACATTGCTTGCTATATCTTAAGCTTTACGAGGTCTGCAAGTTTTTATATTGTGTTCTACTTTCATGATTTTATTTTATTGTTAATGAAGAAGCAATTGGATGATGTATGTTGTAGGTATTTCCAAGTTATTGGTTTTAAAGTTTATATAGCGGTAATGGGATTTAATGTTATATGTGTTCTACTCATATGTAATAAAGTTTTAATGATTCTAAAGCATTATTAAATTTTATCATATTATATTTTTATTTATTTTAAAACTGAGATCTTCAGAATTCCAATGATAGATGCGAGGTATCTTATATATATATATATATATATATATATATAGCTGTAACATTTATAAGGATTGCTTCCATTTTATTAGAATAGTGAACGTACCTAGTCTTTTAAGATAAGCGAGAATAATAGTAAAAAAAAGATAGATGATATCCATAATACATATATCAGTAAGTAAAAATAATAACGTATTTATTGAGATAAAATTAACTTATTGTAAATAAGATTTTTCAAATACACTCTTGTCTTTTTGTAAATTATAAAACGCATATAATGAAAAGATAAGAATTAAACTGAAAAGTTTTATACTTTAAGAGAGAACGATAGATACTAAGAGTCATTAAAAGCAAATTTTCTTGTGGAAACTTTCTCTTCAACAATAATTCAAGAATTTTGTAGAATATTTACGAAAGTTAGTCATTTTTCAACCAAAAGCTTCCTCGCGTGGCGTAAAATGGGGATTTAAGAAAGTACGTATACCAATAAAGGTACATGCAACGCCAAAACAAAAGTTTATTCTGGCTTTAGCGGGAATTTATCCTAGTAAATACTGAGAAATGAGAAGGGGGGCACAGAAGGAAGGGGAGAGAGAAAGATTCTTGTATATATTTTAATCCATAAAGTAATACAAATGTTTCTCATACGTTTCTTTCTTAAGGGGATCCTAAAGTCGTCTGTATTACCAACTAAACCATACAATTTTTGTATCGTAAATACTTTTTTGTCATTCATATATTCGAAAATCTTTTTACAGGATTAAAGTATAGGACAAAGTATACGCATTAATATATGTCTGCAAGTTAAAAATTAAAAAATTGAGTTTTTTACCATTTTTTAGTCAAATATAGCGCTCTACAGCTGTCACGTCGTTGCACATCGTAACAACATTTGTTTCATATAAAAGCTGTGCAATCTGTACTTAAGAAATAGTAGTTCACAGGCACGTAGTTTATGTGAAGAAACATCTTCGAGTGCTTAGAATTAGACTTAGACAAATTATCGCGATGAATTTACGATACGAAAATTAACAAGTAATGCGACTACTTGCATTATTCTTGCGTGAGATATTAATGTGGTAGTATATAAAAGATATGTCGAGATGTATTGTAAAACAGCGACATCTGGCGATTTCGTTAGAGTTCGAGCTTTGTTTTAGGATCCCCTAACAATAAGACCTAAATTTATTTTATTTTAATCAATCGCGCATGATTACAAAAATTTAAATTAATATGCATATATTTTTTAAGCGTATAATGGAATAGTTATATACTGCAGAATTCAGATTTCGAAAAAAACGGCAAAAAATGAAATATTATTAGTAACGATATAGGTTTGAATACTTGAAAGTATGTTTTTATTAATAACTCAAATACTTACACGTTGTCGCTTTATATTTTATTAAAAGAAACAAAAATTTTTTAAATGAAAACTAACTTTTTATTAATTTTTACTAATATTATTAGTAAAATATTACTATTATTATTATTATTATTATTACTAATTTTTCAGTAAAAAGTATTTAAATCTTTAGAAGATTCGTCACAAAAATTTAATATGTTGTGTGTTTTCTCTAATTCTTATTAATTATTATATCTTTTAATCATAATTTTAATGAAAAATGGATTGATTCTGTAATTAATTTTAACTTTGTGTTTAGATTTTATTACAAGTATAAAATACTAACATGATATTTTTCGTGTTACAGAAAGCTAGATTGGCACGTATCAGAATCGCGAAGGCGTCGAGCGGTGCCGCTTTCGTAAGCAAAAAGAAGGCAGCGGAGGCTCGTTTAGCCGCTCAGGAGAGTGGGCTGCAGTTGGAGGAGTTCTACAAAGAGGAGGATATCTTCGAGCTGCAACATCATCACCTACTTCGTTGCTTGGAGAAGACCACGGTAACTACTTCTAATAACAGCAGCATATTGCGCTTTTATGCGAGAACTCTAATGTCTCCTTAGTACCCGCTAAATCGCTCTAAAATCCTTAAAATCTCACCAATAAATTAACTCCCTTAGACAAGGGATTTTATCTTTTATTTCTTGCTTTGACAATGAGAGGACTTAGGCAAAATTCTTTCTTCTATTATCACATATTCTAAAGATAACGCTATATAAATTAAGATGTACCAAGAAAAGAAATTACGTCCTTAATTTAGGAGATTTGTAAAAATTAGTAGTATTACACACTTTGGTTTGATAATTAAAGTTGTATTGAATGTGTTTTATCTACTACGTTGTTTTTTTAAATTAGAATTTTAGTAAATTTTATTTTAATTAATAGGTAGAATAAAAATAATATGCATAAGCGTATTATCAATACATTACATAACAATATATTGATATATTGGGTCTTTTCAGCTACGAAACATACGTTATATAGTCACATAGTCGACATAGAGTATCGACTCATAGCTGAAACTCATTGCTTCTTTTTTATATTTCACTGTCAGAGTGAAATAAAAGAGATCTTATAAACTTATATCCAAATATATCTGAATATAATCTTATTGTTAGAATATCTTATTGGAGTATCACTTTTAGTACAATAAGTGGTAATAAAAGATAAAAATTTCATGAAAAGGAAGAACGATATCTAAGAAAATAAAAAACCCCCTCAAGATAATATAAAGGCTACTTTGCTATCATTACGTAGAGTTTTTTTGACATTTTGTACAAAGACCGTTGTGACGAAGATAGATTAATTAGCAAAATGATAATAATTAATCATTCATGAATGTAATGTTCTCTCGCCGAACGACGACAAACTCATACAAAAACGTAGTATATCTTCAGCGTGCTTCAACCTTCCGTCATTAATCCCACGCGAAACGACAAAGCAACTGCGTCGTCGTGAATGCATCGTCGACACTTCCGTTCTCGCGCCGAGAATTCAATAGGTACTCCGCCTCGAAAATCCGGCAGTCCGTTTCGCGAGTATTGCCGAGTACCGGAGTAATTTGAATAAACCCTAACCTCTCCCTCCATCTCCCGGACGCTCCGTCTGCTCGTCTAATTTTAGCCTGGTGAGAGGTTGGTTGCGCAAGCGAGGGTTGCCGCGTACGGTGTGTAGTCTTTATCGAGCTCGAATACATGCGACCAACCCTCGTTTACGGAGCTACTGCTGCTACAGAAACGTGCTATTGTGAAATTGTACATGCGAAGCATCAGAAATCCTTTACTTTTTGTACAAATGTAGATAAAAGTTACAGTAAAGTTAGATAAAAAAGAGTGATACAGTAAAATATGAAAATAATATATATATTTTTTTATTAAATATAATAATTAAAACATGATGTTAGAGATTTGATGAGTAGGAATATATTATATTGCAAAACAAACATACATAATGTATATGATTACTCATTCCGAGTCATTTTTCTTTATTAGATGCATAATAACCGCGTTTCATATAATTTATATAATCTCCGTTGAAATACGTAAAAGTGTTAAGATTTAATGAATCCTAATTCATGTGAATAATTAAAACCTAATTTTACAAATTAAGAATATATATTGTATTGCTATTTTTTTTTATTACTTATCTTTATTATCATACGTATAATGAAATAAACATTTGACGAATTACGGAAAAAACGTTAGTTAAAAAAGGGAAAAGCTGTGTATAAGAGGATTAATATAAACTTCAAATAAATTTTTCAGAGAAATTTGATTCTACATAAAGGGATTTGTAGCTGCAGAAAAGATGCCATTTTTCCGATACATTTTACTCATGTTATATACATACGTGCATGTTCTGCGCAGAGATGCATACAGGTTTATACAATTAAAACATTTAAAACGTGCACGCGTGCGCGAAATGTGTACATCGAAAAGATTATAAATAGGTACGCCTCGCGATTTATACAACGTGTGTAATGACAGCTAGTTATATACAGAAGGGAATTTATTACGCTAAAAAGAGAAAAAGGGAGGAAATTTGTGACGTGCAGAATATATATGGAGATCGTGATATGCATTATAATTCATATGAATTAAGCTTATTAGCATACTTGACACAATTAGAAATTGATATATTTTAAGATGGGAAATAAATAGGTATTTAAATAATGGTACAAATATAAGTAAATTAAATAATTTACTTATATCTATTATTACTCTGCGGTTGTTAGTGTATAAGTAATATATTTACAAAAATGAACTAAAAATGTATCATGAATAGATATACCACAAGTAAAAAATGTAAGTACTTTGTTTATTTGTTATAACAACAACGCAACTTGGGTAGAAATGTACTTTTAGGGACACAGCGAAACTTTTACTACTATAGCAATATCGAAATATCCAATCCGAATCAGCCAATAATAACTGAAATAACGATAAAAGAAACAGCAGAATCGTTACCGTTACTGTAAAGTGTAAAAATACAACGATATTATCGAAAAAAGTAACGGAAAAGGTAACGGCGTTACAAGTAACGCGTTACTTTCCAATTTTGGGATTTAACACCACGAGGTGTCTATATATTAATTCTCACCGCGTCGGTACGTTATTAATATTAATTCTAGCATGATATCGATTTATAAAACCCTTGGTGTTTAAATCAACATCATCGTGATATGGTTTTAAAACCTATGATTTTAAATCTATGTCATGTTAGTGTTATAATATAATATTAATAACAATGAAAATTATATAAACTCCACATAATTTATTCTTATATCTATTATACATTATAATGTTTTTATACATCGATATTTTTTAAATTAAGTAAATATTTTTTGAGTAAAATTTCTCTAAATATTTCATCTTAGTAGGAAGTATAGAATTTCTAATAAGAAGAGAATCATTACATATTTCGAGATAAAGCATCATCAAATAGCAATTTCTAGAGACGTTCAACTTATATAAACGTTTCATCCCAGGAGGCTAGTAGACTAAGTAAAGCTAAACGACGCACTGGGAGGTTGAAAAACGAAAGGGAAGATATCAGCGTAGACGTCAAAATTGGAGCAAGTATTCAGCGGTTGTAAAAAAATCTTTTCAGAGCTGTTTTATTGACACACAGATCCAGATGCAGAATTCGCTTATACGATTTATGCTTCAGAGACTACCATAGAAATAGTAGCGCAACAACGGTCACAAAAGGGATGGCTGCAACTCGTATTTCTGAAAAAAGAAGCTTAGCCGAGCTTAGACTAAATATAGACGTACGACCGAGAACTATTGGCAATTTACTCAGCAGTTAAATAGTAAAGTACATGATAGAAGGGCGATATTTCACAATTTATGTATATATCGATACGAATAAAAGCCAATCGTATACACTTTCAATCAAAATCTATTTCTTGGCTCTTTTCGACAGATTTGCTATTTAGAGTATATAGATCAGTTTATAATTGACATTTGACATATATTCGGAAGGGATAATATTGTGGCAGATACTCTTTCTTGGACTAAAGCAATCCATGTAATAAATTTTGAAGAGCTAGCCGAATCTCAAGAGGACGATGCACAACTGAAGACAATCCTACAGAATGAAAAAGTATTAAAACTTTCCAAGAGATACAAAGATATACTAGATACCACCAGACAGCTCTTAGGCTACTACAAATTCTTTTTATCCAGTTCTGCTTTTATTCCAAGAAATTGTATTATTTACTGGTTTCTATCAATTCTTGTTATTTTTATTTCAATTGCATATATATTTCAGATTTTTACAGTAACTTTATACTTACATTTACTTACATTTCTTGTTAGAAATCAATAATAGCAATTATGTTTCTATAAGAAAATGAGAACAAATGAGGACTATTATTAAATTCCGCTATTTATTTTTACACTCTAAAAAATATAAATATTAAACACCATACGGTGTTTATATGATTTTTAACGTGTTAGTGTTGATATATTTAAAATTTATGATATTAAATCCATGACGATGTTTATATCAATACTAGTGAGAATTACATTTAACATTCACTTTAAATCCACCTCCACAGTTTTGAAGTATACTATCTTTTATTTTTCTTCAAAATTGTTATTTTACAAAATATTTTTGTAAAATAATTAAAAAAGCAGAACTAACACAAAGAGAGAAATGCCGTAGTGTATAAGTAGTACATAGTATATACAAAGTTTAATCGTTCATCTTTCATAACCTAATGTGTCAGTAAGGCAATCCTGCTGCCTTGTGTATTTACCCTGTGTGTAAGTTAAATACTATGCATGTAAGCAGGTGGTAACACAAGCTCGTCCTTGTGCTGCTTTTATTCCTTTGGGAATTCTCTCTGTAAGGCATTTTGTAGATTAGGTAGCGAAACAAATTCGGTTAGACGCGATCATATTCACCTGTGCAACATTATTAGTAGATATATATTTTATATAAACAGTAACTCAGCCTGAATTTGGAATGACCTTTCAGCCTCTTACTACGTTACAGAACTAACTTTCGGTTAATCATTTTAACAGTAAATTTCTTAAAATTTACACGTCATACTTTGATAAACTTTAGAACTGTTAATGCAGCACAAATAACTATATTTGCTTAAATATTCAAACTATTTATATTTATTATACTGCCTTTTGTGATTTATTTTTACTGATTTTTAGTATAAATGATTAAACTGATTAATTAATTTTGTTTCTTTATTCAGTTCTTTTAAATATATAATTTATTGGTCGTTTGCTACAACAATCACATAGCTAAAAAATTGTGATTTTTTTAGTTGCTTGCAAAAAAGAATGAAAACATAAGGAAAAAGGAAAAATCATACTTTATAAGTACATACTTTTAATACTTTACAATATTATTAGGGTGATTTTTAAAAAATTGGAATTTTGAGTCCCGCACTTTTCAAATATATTTAAATAAATTAAATTGTATTTTTTCCTTCGATTTTCATAACAGAGAAAGATTACAACTGTATCTTTACCGC